GGGGGGGGGGGGGGGGGGGGGGGGGGGGGGGGGGGGGGGGGGGGGTCTTCATGGTCGTGCATGTCTTAGTCGTGAAGACCATTGACCTCGCATCCCCACGAAGCCGGGACAGAGCACGCCGGGTTTCTCACCGGACCAGGCTCTCACATCACAAAGCGCGAAGCGCCGTGAGGTATTCCGCGAGTCGCATGAAGGGTGCGCTGCACCCTGCTAAGGGTTTTCGGCATCTTTGAGAGGGCGGGGAAAATTGACAGGCAGACAGGCGTATGTGTGACATCGGAGGCAGGCGAATAGGACAGGCAGAGGCAGGCGTGTAAGAGAGGTGGAGACAGGTATGTATGACAGGCAAAGACAAGCGTGTGAGACAGGCAGAGACAGGCATAGGAGGCAGACAGAGACCGGCATGTAAGACCGAGACGAGACGTTGAAGACAGGCATATGAGACAGACAGAGATCGGCATATAAGACAGGCAGCAGACAAGAGGGACACGAGGGACAGAGAGACAAACAGGCAGGCAGGCGGGCAGGACCTTCAGACACTCAAGGGCCAAACCAAGCCAATCGTACCAAGGTGTACCTGCCTCCTGACCTAAACACGACAAAGGGGTTCAGCAGAGGCAAGCAACCCCCCCCCCCCCCCCCCCCCCCCNCCCCCCCTGCTCCGATTTCTTGTTTGTGGTTTTAGTCCCAGTGGTTATTGGAACATGTTGTTTCACTTTGATGAGAGGATGGCCTGAACCGATTTTCGTATTGTTGAGGCAGAAAACCGTACGTAAACACTCCCCCCCCGTCGGCACGCCTTCTGTTGTTTGCGCTCCTGGGTAATATCCTTTTGCCAAAACAAGGCCACATTCGCATCAGTACGTTCATCGAGGATGTGGCTGACTCGAAGGTGCCGCTGAGCCATAACAGCAAGAAGGAGACGGGAATGGTCGGCCTCAAGAACCAGGTGAACCTTTACGCCGTTGTGTTACGTCGCTTTGTTGGTTGTGGTATTGTGGTTCTGGTGGTATTATCGTCGTAGTCGTTGTTGTTGATGGTGCTGGTGCTGGTGTTGATCGTGGCGGTGGAAATGATCATGCTGTCTTCGGGTCGAATCGGTGTTTGTTGCGTGTATGCTGGCCACCGCTCTGTCTCGCCACCCGGCTGCTGATGTCGCTGCCATTGCTGCTCCTGTTGCCGAAACTCGTCGTACCAACCAGGGGGCTACGTGTTACATGAACAGCCTGCTCCAGACGCTGTACCACGTCCTCTCGCTTCGCCGAGCGGTGTACGACATGCCGACGGAGGAGGAAAACAGGTGTGGTTGGGAGCCAAGACGGACGTTTTTTCACGGTGAATGCTGTTGCGGCGGCGCAACTCGTGGCGTTTCGAACCTACGAACGAAATCATTGTACACTCGTAGCTCCGTCATAACAGGGTACCTTAAAGGAGGGGGCTCCGATATGTGATGGTCACACCACCCGCTTATGACGGAACCACGACCGTCTTGAGATCAGTCGTGTTTACGAACGTGTGCGATGGTTCGACCACGTCGACACGCGGTGGGATTTGGTGATTTGCTTCTTGCGCGGCACGCCTTGCTGAACCTCATGAGGGACACTCGTTGACACGCGCCCCGCTATGGAACGTTCGAAACGTTCGAAACCCGCGCCTGGACAGCGTGACGAGCATGGCGCTGGCCCTGCAGAGAGTGTTCTACCGCCTCCAGACGAGCAACAAGAGCGTGGGGACCAAGGAGCTCACCAAGTCCTTCGGCTGGGACGCGTATGACTCCTTCACGCAGCAGGTGTGCGTGTGTGTGTGTGTCTCCCTGTCTCTCTCTTATCTCTCCCTCTCTCTATTCTCTCTATATATCTGCATGGCTCTGTGGACAATTTTGTCTTGGTCTCGAAGACCGCTCGCTGGAATCGGTGGACCAATCAGTGTGCGCCTCTTGCGCGGGACAACACACCGTGAAACCGCTTCACCTGTATTTTTGCCTGCCGTTTCACGTCGTGAGGCCACCATTGCCGCCGGACAATTGAAGGACGTGGCAGTACATGGTGTACATTTTTTTTTTTTAATCTCCCGTCATTGGACTCTGTCGTCTGCCCTCTGGCCCCTATCCTCCACTTCTACCAGCTAGACGACCCAACCGGGGTCACATAGGAGGGGGGGGTTGGACCCCCTCCTGCGGTTCCTGCCTGAGATATTTTTATCGCGAGAAGGGTATCTAGACTACAGCAATCCCTTCCCTCGCGACTTATGAAGTCGATCAAGTTTTCTAACAACGAGCTTTGCAGCGCGTCGCTTCCAACGGAGAGCTGTGCGGTCGTGATTTTTCGTTATTGCTGCTTGGTTGGCGATTCTGTTTCTGCGAGCGGTCGTGAATTGGTCACGCGTAGAGCGAAATGCATGGTACTGAGAACTGCTGTGTCGACGTCGATACGCCGGCCTCGTCAGAGGCGTGTCCACATTTTTTGTTTTGTGAAGACACACACAAAACAACTTAAAGTCATACCAACCGCGTCATGACATAAACGGACGTCGATAACCATTACACCACAGGACGTGCAAGAGCTGAACCGTGTCCTTTGCGACCATCTGGAGGACAAGATGAAGGGAACGCCAGTGGAGGGCACCATTCAGAGGCTCTTCGAGGGCACCATCCGGTCCTACATCCAGTGCGTGGACGTGGACTTCACCTCGGCGAGGGTGGAGACGTACTACGACATTCAGGTGTGAAGAGAGGACGGCGTGAAAAGCACAAACTTTTGTTGTGTTTTTTTTTAAGGGCGTGCCTTTGTTATCGGCCATCGACCGCGCTGACCTGGTGACCAGAGGATACGTCAAACCTCGGTGCGTGACCTGCGCAAGACGTATGCCTTTGCAGGTGGTTTGTTTGAGGTTTGTCTGTAAGCATGTACAATTGCGTCGTTTGGTATGGTCTATTGAGGTGCCCTTCGTCGATGTCAAGTCTCCTTCAACTCGGCCACGGATGCGAACTCCGTGGATCAACAGAAGGCCGGCGCTCGCTTGCGCTACTTGCACACGAGCACGCATTGAGAATGAACCGGCAGTCGGCGACGTTTGCATGTGTGCTACGCATCAATAGTTGTTGCTTGGGGGACACCATGGTGTTCATGCGAGAAGGGGGTTCGCCGCCGTGCGCGGCGAACTCTGACGCCATGAGCGGGGTGCTGTTTGCGACAAGGCGTTCATGTGCCCTATTAGTAGGGCCTGAGCAAGCCGCCCGCCCGTTCGGGATGCCTCGCTGCAGCTGCTGATGATGATGGTGACACTGTTATTACTTTTGTCTGCGTTTTTCCCACGTCGTTGCCTTTTGGCGTGCCAGTTGGATGTCAAGGGCTGCAAGGATATCCACGAGTCGTTCGCCAAGTACGTCGAGGAAGAAGTTCTGGACGGGGACAACAAGTGAGTAAGGCGTAACGGGAGCAGCGCACTGTGACGGGTTGTACCATGACCCTTGACGGAACGCACCATGACACTTGACGGAACGTACCATGACACTTGACGGAACGCACCATGACACTTGACGGAACGTACTAGACACTCAACGAGACGCACCATGACAAGTACCGGGGCGTACCATGTGTTCTCAGGAGCAAGAGCGAATAGGACGAGAGGAAATCAGCAAGAGAAACCTTGACTGGGACATACCGCGTGCCTTGCGTCTTGTCTTCGCTCGAACGCCGTCTCATAAAATGGTCGTAGCGGACGTCGGCATGAGCAGGCTTAGTTATTGGGGCCATGGTCTGTGAATGCAACCAGAAAATCGTTTGCTGGCTGGAGAGATGTGGCGCTTTTTCGGAGCTACTGGCGACGGGTCCGATCGCCGCTCTTTCATGCCGCAAAGTACATTTCTTGTACTGCAGCTGAGCCCGCTATGAAGCGACCGATACCAATCTCACCCATCACATGTTGCGATACTTCGACCAAAGTCACCCAACGACTTCGTAGATTCGGGTTGGTCGACAGTAGTACCAAGATTACCCGCACCCACCCCACCACGTGTGTTTTCGTTACTTTCATGACCAAAATTTCACCCCCCCAGCGATCGCGATGCGATTGATATGCATTTCATTGTCACAACGTGTTTATCTGTGTCTGTCGGCCTGCTTGTCCACCCTGTAGGTACGACGCCGGGGAGCAGCACGGCAGGCAGGTGGCCAAGAAAGGGGTGAGGTTCCTCCGCTTCCCGCCTGTGCTGAACGTGCACCTGAAGCGGTTCGAGTACGACATGACGACCGGGACCATGGTGAAGGTCAACGACCGCTTCTCCTTCCCGAGGGAGATGGACATCGACCAGTACCTGGGGGAGGTCAGCAGCTTGTTGTTGGCGTCGTCGGTGGTGATGGTGGTACCATGGTCTTGTCGTTCTTTTTCTTGTCGGTGTGTATACTGCTGTTCTTGCGTCTGGTGTTTTCATCAAGATGTTTTCGACAGTGTCACCTCCGGAAGCGTGAAGGTGTGTCGGTGAATACGACAGCATTTTAGCTCTCTTGTTGTGTGATCCGGAGAGAGTGGTTTGACGCAGTCGGCAGGAGCTCCGCTACGATCGATGAGAACCCTCCCGAGCCCTCCTTTCCTCTCCTCTACCACAACAGAAAGCAGGCCACGAGATGGTGTTTATTCCAATACCCCTTCCCAAAAAAGAACAAGATCGATACACCGAAAATAAAACAGCTGACTAGAGTACCAAACGCGCGTGTTTTTTTTTTTTTTTTCAGGAGGCCGAGCGGGACCCCCAACGGCCGAATCGGTACATCCTTCACTCCGTTCTGGTTCACTCCGGGGACGTCCACGGGGGTCACTACTTTGCCTACATCAGGCCCGACGGGAGGGTGAAGGGGGGGCAGTGGTGCAAGTTTAACGACGAAGTGGTGACCCAGGTGTGTGTGTGGGGGGGGGA